AAGTCTGACAGCTCTCAATCAATCAGTCTGACAGCTGTCAAAATGTATTTCTTAGATTTGGTTGACTATAGACTACACAAATTGATATTTACAAAATTATACTATATTATTGTTGTTTACAAAAAAAAAATACCTTTTTAGCAATATCGCAATAATTGCTCAAAATGTCTACGACATTATAAGTATCTTTCTAAACACAAACTAGCACGCGTCTTTGTAAATTGTTTGTTAAACTTCCACTAACACTTTGTGCTTCTTTTGCGTATACGCTAATCATTTTAGTTCGAACCACAAATTAAAGTCTAGATGTTTTAGGTCAGGTGACCTCGCCGGCCAGTTCAGAGGGCAACTGTGACCTATCCATCTATCACCGAATTGGGTGTTCAGATATGCGCACACACGTCGTTATGAGCTGGACATCTGTCGTGCTGGAAGTACATTCCTTGCACGTGGCTCAGAGGAACGTTTTCCAACATTGTGTCGATGACGGATCGTATCATTTGCAGATACGTTACTCCCGTCAATCGAACTTCAATCCATATTGGACCAATGACGTGGTCGTTAATGATAACCAAACGTTAACACTGAAAAGAACTTGATTACCATATTCTTCGATTTTGTGTGGGTTTTGAAAAACTCCACCAGTGCTCATTGTGCACGTTGTAAATTCAAACACGAGGTAATTATCGATTCAATCCACCGTCTAAGTTTTAACCAGATAACTCGACATTAGAGTATTGGTATACATGTTTACGATAAACATATACACTGAAACATAAACAATACGACGGCGACGCGACATCACACCGCAGCGAATCACAGGTCACTGAAGAGCGCGGGCGGCTTTGCCCTTGAACTTGTGACCCTGCGAAAGCACAAGGACAAAGAGGCCTATTAAATTTATTGTTTCGTAAACCGGAGTGCATATTATTTGAATTTCGATAGATTTTAAATGATTTATGTAGTTCAATTTTTTTAGTACGGAAAGTTTATTTAAAATTAGGTATGATATAGGTATTTACCTGTTACATCCTAATTTTTTCCAGACGGTAAAAGATCTAGTACTTACAATTCATGTACTACAATAAACAAATGAATAGAAAAGGTGGTATAAAAGAAATTTAATATTTATGACTAACTAATATGAATTATTTTATATTTATTCCCCTATTTTGTTGTTCTTGTTAAAAGTAATGTCGGAGGTGAATAATTAACACAAAAAAGCCAAAGAGCCAAATTACTAGCCGATCCAAAGAAGTTTTTAAAATACTATAAGATGTTTAAAAACTCTTTTGAAGACTTATTAAACAAAATAAGAGGAAGGTTACGAAAAGAGATACTTATAAAACATACATAAACACACCTACTCGCTTCGGTCGTGCATCGCACACTGGGCGCGCTCCGTACGGTATTTACGAATGTGTGATGCGACTCATACCAAATCTATAGAAAACCTGCCTTCGGAATGACTTTTTCTGTGCGGGATTCAGAACGCACAGGCTCATGTGGAATTTTGAATCAAAGAAAATTTCGAATGGAAAACTACTGTACGTGTGGGAAGAAAATTTCGAATGGAAAACTACTGTACGTGGTACTACGGTACTTCGAAATCCCGAATCCATATTCCGAAACGGTTTTTCGAAACGGAATTCCGACTTTATTTGGCCGGCCCGAAACAAAGACTTTTAATATCTTTTTCCAGAATAAACAGACAATGACCTTTGAGCGAACTGTTGCGATAACACTATTGTTGCCATTTTTTCACTTCAATTTCGATTTCAAAATTGACGATTTATTATTTTCATACATGCCATACAACTAAACTAGCTCTCCACCAGATCCAACTTCTAAAACCACCTAAAACCACTAACAAAAAGCGATCCTACACTCATAATCCCTAAATTTTTCATGTAATAATCGTTTACTTTAATTATTACATATTATTGTGTAAGAAAACATAATTTTTTTAATGTAAATAATCAATCTATTTCTATTTCTGTACTACCAACTCTCAGTAAAATTTTTGAAAAAATAATTTTAGTTTGTCAAATTTTTATTAATAAAAATCAATTACGTTTCACAAGGAGTCGCTCGACGACTGACGCAGGTGTCCAGCTTATGAAATATAATTTTAATGCCTGGGAAAGTTCACTAGATGCCTTAGATATTTTTTGTGATCTTTCCAAGGCTTTCGATTGTGTTCATCATGAGATATTAATCAGGAAACTACAATATTACGGTGTCAAAATTATTGCACTTAGACTTATTATTTCATATTTAAATAACAGAACTCAAAAAGTCGTTATCAATGGTAAAAGTTCCTCCGGATCAGTAGTATCAGTGGACGTTCCTCAGGGCTCGATTCTTGGCCCATTCCTGTTCTTAGTCTATATTAATGACTTACCTTATCTTGTAGGTGACAATCACGAAATAGTATTATTTCCTCTTTAATTTCCAAACTCAACAGTCAATTTTTTTATTGGATAGGGTGACACACGCGCGCACAGTACATCTGATGGTAAGTGGTTGCTGTGGTCCGTAGACATCTACATCTATCCTCGATTACGACAGCTAGATTAGTTTATTTTAGTTACTTTCATAGCGTAATGTCTTATGGAATCATACTATGGGGTAATGCGACTGACATTGAAGTTATATTTGTTTCGTAAAAGAGAGCCGTACGGGCGATTTATAACTTAAATTGTAAAGAATCCTTTAGAGAAAAATTTAAGGAAATAAACATATTACCTTTGGCATCGCAATATATTTATTAAAATGGAATGTATGTACATAAAAACATAAATAACTTTCATAGATGTTCATACTTTAAACTCTAGTAACACACATAAACTTGTAATACCAGTTACTAGACTCCAGAGAATTAGTAACTCATTTATGGGGCAATGTATACGCTTTTACAACAAAATCCCAGAAAATGTACAAAATTTGTCATTAAACAAATTTAAATGTTTTATTAAAGAAAAATTGTACAAAAAGGGTTATTATATTACCCCTGGGAATGAGGTGATCGCCACCATGCTGGTTCTATAAAAATTCGTAGAAAAATTGTAAAAATAAATTTATTGTAATTTGAAATATGTTTAAAAAAAGTCCCTCTGGGTTTCTTGTTGGTTCTTTCCAGGGCAGAGGTTTTTGCATACCAGTGGTAAACAAAAAAATGACTTTCAATAAGTATTATACAATAATCTATAATCTATATTGAATAAAAATCTTTTTTTTTTTTTTTTGTTTTTTTTCATTTGTTGACAATTTTTTAAAATTCTGATTTTTGGAATTAAGTCTAGTTTTCAGCCAGAATCCGGATAATAAAACTGAATAGATTGTAATTACGTTTCATTTCCTAACTAAATATACATTTATTTTTACTTATATTTTACTCCACTTGCTAACGCATGACATTTAAACTTAACGCATACGGCATTCAAGGTAAGATTTTTAACCTAATAAAATCATATCTGATTGTCCGCAAGCAATGTACAGATATTGATAGAATATGTATTATATCTAAACGTGAATGCAAACATGTATCATCTTATATAGAGAAATAAAAATCGGCGAACCGCAAGGGAGTGTCCTTGGGCCACTGTTTTTTTTAACTTTATATAAACCCATTATCTCTTGGTATTATTAGCAGACGAAAGCACAGCTCTAATAAAATGCCTAAATATTTTTTTATGAAAATGATATAAAAACTACGATTAAAACTATAATTACCTGGCTGAATTATAATAATTTACTTATTAATATTCAAAAAACTAAAATAATGCACTTTTACCAGAAACTTCGCAGTAAAGATCTAAATATATATTACAATGAAATGGTACTAGTAGTTTACCATAGCTTGGTAGTTTCCACTTTAAGATATGGTGTTATATTTTGGGGCAACTGTGGCAATAGAGGATTTTCAAAGCCCAAAAAGGCTGCGTAAGAACATTTTTAAAGCTCATAAATTATTAACTTTTTCGTGTCTGTATAGAAATAACGTTATTTGTCAAAATTAAATTATTTATTTCTTACCTTAAATGAAACTCGAGTATGAACTGTATCCACAAGAACGCAATATGAAGATTTATTGTACACAGGAAGGTTTCAAACACCTTTATTGAATAAAAGTGTTATGGGCATGGCACCTCTCATTTATAACAAAATGCCAAATTTTGTAAAAAATCAACCCATAATAATAATAATTAAAAAGAGTCTTACTTTTTTATTATTATCAGAAAGGTGCTATTACTCAGTATCGGACTTTTATGATACTTATACTTAAATAATGTTCAGCTAATTAATTGTTTGTGTTATGCTGTTTGTATCAGTAATTTATAATGAGTTATACTAATTGACTTATATATTACTAGCGTAGTTGCACTATCCGCAATTATAATTCTATAATCTAAATTTATGTAATAACAATAATAATAATGCAATAACTATTTATACTCATAATTATTATCCTATTAAATATATTTATAATTAATTACTATAGTGTTGTTAAGAAATAAATTTCAGTTTAATATTTGCATGCCAAAATGGTAGAATGTATGGATCTTTTATGTACTCTGTCAACACCTTATTGTGAATACCTACATTCAATGCAAATAAATCAATATTCTATTCTATTCCAGAGGCTTTCAAAAAGTTAGGCTTTTTCTCAAATATTGTTGTAATTTTCTTTACAAGTAATGTGTTGTATCGTGTCAATAGTAGATGCATAGATTCATCTGAGAACATGGGTCTGTTGAGTTTATATGAGCCATGGTGTGGTAAAATCCAGACAGAAGTCCAGTATTGGCTTTTAGAATCAGGTCAAAACCAGATTTATCAAATAAAATAGCAACCTTAATTATATGTATGTATGTATGTATAGTACACAATTATTTACATTCCGAATGTATGTGTGCATGTTTTTCAAATTGTTTAGTTTTATAATCAGTGAACATAACATGGTTCGTATTCTTTAAATAATAAAAAACAGCATTTACCTTTGAAACTAGGCTAGCTCTATATGCTGCAAGCGCTTTCAAGTATTCTTTCTTGGCCACTTCAGTTTTCTGTTTGTAAACCTGTTTAATTATTTTTATATAATGTTACATATGTTTTTAGATAATTAGGTTTTAAATACTTTTTTATTTATGCTTTTTATGTCATTGCAAACAAAAATACTTTCATAGACGCCACTTACACTTTTATGCTCAGAATCCAGACCATCCCACATTGATGCAACAATTTTAGATACTTCACCAAAACTCGCATTTGGATTTTGTCCTTTAATGGCAGCTTGAGTGTCTCGAAAAAATAAGGCATATGCTGACACGGGTCTGGAAAAAAAGATGTTATTATTAATTTTTTGAAATAACTTTCTACTTTTAAGCCAGCGTTCAGTATTTTTTTTAAATAATTAATATCTTTATAACATACTTTTGGGGTTCATTAGGGTCCCGTTTCTTCTTCTTTTTTTGCACTTTTGGTTTCTTCTGCATTTGTCCACGGTTAATACCATTGTCCATTGGTTCAGGAGATGACCTTTTAACGCCCATATTATTTACACCAATCTATGCAAAAAAGGCAATTATTGATAAATGATTTCTACTACTTAAAATAACCTGCTACTTATAGTCCATTGGCAATACAAATCTAACCAATATTAATAAAAACTACAACTATTTATATAGCAATGTGATAAAATTTGCCTATACCTGATGAAGCGTAGTTTGTTGCTGCCGGCTCGCTGAGCAATAATGGATAGGCAGAAGGCTTTCCGCATCACCAGGCAACTACCAACAAACAACCAATTAATTAGAAATTTTTAAAAACATGTTCTGATAACTTTGTAATGAATGAAACAAATCAATTTGTATGCCAATGAACTATGAGTAAATAAAGCACAAAAAAATGAAAAAGACAGGCATGAGAAAGAAATCATCACTTTTTTTTATTTTTCTTTATGATTTATGATAAATTTATTCATTTACTAGAACTATGATTGTAAATAAAGTAAGTGTAAATAAATACTAAAAAAAATAATACCAAAATAAATCTATAATAAAAATAACAGCCTAAATACATCCAAATCCTGAGACCAGACATCCACTGATTTTTGAGACTTGAGTTTAAGATTTTGGTAGACTACCAAAAAATTAATTTATTTTATCAAACATGCTTAATTCTTTACAACTAAGCACATTATAATAAAAATAAATACTAAACTAGGTTTGTTATTTTACAATGAAGTTAAAAGTTAGCCTCCAGATTCTGGGATACAAAAGCTTGAAGCTATTATGAAACAAAATAGATAAAACATAAACAAAATTAAGAATTTGACAAAAGTAACGCTTGAGACTGAAATGTGGGTATAGGTCATATTATTACTTTATGAAAAAATCATTGGTAAATGATGTAAAAATCTTAATAAGAAAAATAATTTAAAAGTATATGTGGGTGGCATTAAACAAAATTTTACAATCATACGCAACTCTTTTTTTCCTGATAATGATACTAGAGTACCTACATATTTTCTTACGATACCTCTATATCTGCCACTGCCATGTTCCTATGTGTAATTTTTTTCCATAAATTGTTTATTTTAAAATCTAGACACCTTCCAAAATCACTCAAACTGACCAGATTGCTGTTATTAGACATCATGTAATCAAATTTAACAAAAAATAACAGAAAACTATACATATATAGCCACAATCTTTTGTATATTGTTCTTAAAAAACTTATGTTACATTTTGAGGAGTAAACAGGGCAATATGTTTGTTTGTTTGTTAGTTTTCACAGGAATAATCAGCCCAAGCTATAGTTGTCTCTCTCGGGTGTGCAGCTTGGTGATTAGGGCACAGTGCATCAGCAATAAATTTCTTAAAGCTCCTATTAAGAACAGAGTAGAGTAATATGTACCTACCTACATTTTCCTAACAATAGTGTAACATACAGTGTGTTTTAATGTATAGTCACGCTGCCATTGGTAAGTATGTGGGCACCAAAAGCACACTTTTCACGCTTTAAAAGTGCAATTTTTTGTCAATAAAAACTACGAATTCACATTTTTTTAATTAATTAAAGTTAAAGATTTTTCTTAGTGAATTATGGTGGCCAAAACACGATTGACACATTTTGGCTCGATAGAAAAAGATTGTAGTTTCCTCAAAATCTACATTTTTAGGTACATCCACTAAGTGAAAAAGCAGTTTCATTTAAATGTAATGAAATCAATTTCAATTAAATTCAGGCTATGTGTTCACCAGTAAATACGTGAGTGAATTATGGGTTTATTTTTCAATAAAAGAGTATATATCATTTTAAAATAAATATTGTATGGTTAAATAGCGTGCGGGTCGACCAAGTGAAAAATCTACTTTTGGCGCCCACTTCACCTTAAGGTATAATACTGTGTAAATATTATTTTAATGTCTCTATAATCTCTTATTTTATCTTCATTAGAAACACACACCCAACAAAATTGTCCAGGGATATTTTATGTTTAATATTAGCATAACTTTAAAAGTATATACTGGCCATATACAAAGATTTAAATGTCAATTACACACATAAGCACATATCTTTTATATATTCTAATTTCAAATTAAAAAATACTAATAGAGGCATTAAAGTTGCATTGACTTCAATACAATATTTTCTATCCTGTGTGTTTTAAACACTAAGGCTCATAAAAATCAACATCAATTCAAGAAATTGGTATTTAAAAATGATCTCTCTCTCTCTCTCTCTTTCTATGTATGTCTCTGAGCGTCAAGTATGGAGATAATTAATATTTAATTTAAGTAAATGATAATCAATAGTAAAGATAATTATAAGTAAATGCCTTCAATTAAAGCATTGTTTTTAAACTAAAAATGTATTTTCTACAAGTACATACATAATTCATCTATTATAAATTTTCCCACCAAGAGTGGTGATTACAGAAATCATCCCTTTAATAACCCCTTGTTGGCCGGCCGGCCATTTGCAAATAATGCGTATATCTGCTAAGGCATTAGCAGATAATTTCCGCGATATCGGCGCGTGCCGATTAAATTAATAATTTCTCTAAAATATTGTATGGGAGCTATGTATAAAACTTATGTCATTTGAATTGTTATATTATTTGCTATTATTCTGTACTTATCTTAGTTGAATACAACCTAATGGATTTTATTAAGACGATTTCAAAGTTAGAAAACCGAATTTTTTATGGTATTTTGTACATAATTTGTGAAAATTAAAGAGAAAAATCATTCCTTTATAAAATAAATATAATTTATTTTCATCAATATACACTAATTTATACTAAAAAGTAAAAAACCACACATTCCTATATATTTTTTACACCAAAAGTTTTTTACAATCTTTACACATGAACGGCAACTCAAGCGTCGCACAAAAAATAGCATATATCGTTACTTTTATTTTGAGAAAGGAGGAAGTCAAGTGGCGTGCGATAATTTTAACGTTAAGTATGGTTCAACTTCTTAATTTAGACAAAGTTTCATTTCTAAAAAGTATGTAATGTATTTTTAATCAACAATAGGGATAAATGTAAGGTAAGTAAGTATAACGGCCATTTATGTTTGAATTTTTTTTTTAATAAAAAGGATACATATCCCTAAATAATAAATTAAAAACTGTTGGTTATTAACCCTTCCATGTTAAAATAGCACCAAACTTCACCATTTGTTTGATTTACGAATAAAAAAAGGACAAAAACCGGGACGGGCGAACACATAAAAGCGACATTCACATACGACTGCCATAAAGGCTGTTTATTCAAAATTTCTAAACATTGTAGTACTTTAGTAGCTTTGTATCGCGTCCTCTTTCTTTAGTGAATAATTTTATATAAGTAAAAGTGTGATAGCAATCATTGTCGCCGGTTATTTTACCCGCCAATATGAGGGCTGCACTAAAACTATCGGGAATGGAATATTTCCACTGTTCCTGTCATATTAAAATCTTTTTAATTGAAAACTCCTTGGTTTTAAAAATCGAATACCATTTATTTATTTAAAAAAAGATTCTCGGTGTTGTCACAAGGTTTTGTCAAACTTGTTTAGTCGTTGGAATTGACTCGAGAAAATTCAAGAGCGATGATTTATTATGACTTTCGAAGTGGTTTAACTCAAAAACAGTGTGTTGACCGGATGATTTCTGCATTTGGTGATGAAGCCCCATCCAAAACCACAATTTATCGCTGGTTTGCTGAATTTCAACGTGGATGTGTCAAGCTTAGTGATGATCCCCGTCAAGGTCGTCCAAAAACTGCAGTCACCCAAGAAAACATTGATGCTGTGCGTAAGCTGATTGAGGAAGATCGACATGTGACATACCGCGAAATTCAGGCAACTTTAGACATTGGCATGAGTCAAATACAAATAATCTTGCATGATCAATTAGGTGTAAAAAAGTTGTTTTCCCGATGGATACCGCATTCACTCTGTGAAGAGCAAAAAAGCGGCTCGCTTTACTTGGTGCGTCAGAACTCTCGAAAGATTCCACGCAGGATCCTCAATTGCTGTATACAACATTGTATCAGGTGAAGAATCCTGGATATACGCGTACGAACCCGAAACAATAAACCAGTCACGAGTTTGGGTGTTCGAAAACACCCAAACTCGTGACTGGTTGTCACATTTGCCATGGTGGCCACATTTGTCTCCAAAACCGGCCATGTTACGACTATTCCTCTTGAGGGACAAAGAACCGTTAATGCAGAATGGTATACTAGCATTTGTTTGCCACAGGTTGTTTCTGAACTCCGTAAAGAGAATTGCAACCGCCGCATCATCCTCCATCACAACAATCCGAGTTCTCACACCACACACAGAACAAAAGAGTTTTTAGAGCAAGAAAACATAGAATTATTAGACCATCCACCGTACAGCCCCGACCTAAGCTCTAATGATTTCTATAGTTTCCCTAAAATAAAGAATAAATTGCATGGACAGAGATTTTCATCACCTGAAGAAGCTGTGGATGCCTACAAAACGGCCAATTTGGAGACCCCAACTTCCGAATGGAATGGTTGCTTCAATGAATGGTTCCATCATATGGAAAAATGTGTCAAATTTCACGGAGAATATTTCGAAAAGCAATAAATACATTTTTAAATAGTACTGTTGTGTCACTTCCTTGATTCTCGAAATTTTCAGTGCCGCCCTCGTATCAATATGCAGATCGGCCCGAAACTGGTTGCTTGCCCGGACGCGCATAATAAACCATCGGCCAGATTCTGGCCGGTCGCCAGACAAGGGGATAAGGAAAGTTCATAGTTAATAGTGGATTTTATAGAGCAGAAGTGTAAATAAGACATTGACATATTCATAGATAAAGTTATGCTTAATTAAAGTTTGATAAGCAACTAACTACTAAAGCATTTTTTTAGTTTATGAAAAGAGTCTGATTACATTGGGCTAAAAAATTTCAAAAAGCACCTGAGAATGCTGTGAAGGAACACTGTCATCAGAGTCATCACTAGTTGTTCCAGGAGGTGAGGCCTGTTGAGGTGATCCATATACAGGCCCAGGCTGTGTGGGAGTGCTTGGTGTTGGTGGGCCACTCATTACTTGTGATGGTTGCATCATCAAAAGACGCTGCTGACCGCCAGGTTGTTGCTGTATTATATAATTACCAGCTGGAGCTCCCGCACTACTAAAATATTCATATTAAATGCTTAGTTATCTATAATTAATAAAGATTTTTTTTCATAGTAATAATTACAAAATATTTATATTAAATTTTCAATGTTACTTTTTACTAAATGGTAAATAAATGGCTGAAATTGATGCACAATATAATTAAAATGTCTTAGTTCGTAATAAAAGCTTGACTAATATAGAAAAAAAAAACAAAAGGAAAAAATAAGATAATATTATGTAAAAAATAATGTGTTTAAATTTACCTATGAGATGTAACTGGCGTATGTGGTTCCTGCAAGTAAAGTGGTTGTTGATAAGACGGTGCTCCGCCTGGTGGAGCTAAACCATCTTGTGCCGGATTCATCATTCCAACCTACGGTAAAAAACGTTATCTGTTGTTATTAATGAAATATTTTAACTTTAAACTCATTACATGGGCATTTCTAAGTTATAATAAATTAAAAGGAAGAAACAATAACAAACAAAACAACTGTTACTAAAACGAGAAAACAAAACATGAAGAGAAATAAAGAAAACAACATAATTTTTTTCATAGGTAATACCGTAATAGGGACGTAGATGAACAACGATGCTAGAAATTAAAACATCGATGTTTTAATCGATGTTACCACATGTCAAACATTGAACATCGATGTTACACCGTCCTATGTCAATGAACCAATAATCAATTAATAATGCGAACCCGCGAAATTAACATCTACTAAATATTTTGTCTCCTATTGAAGGTTTAAAAATTTGAATAATTCAGGATTACTAAATGCATCGATCACCTAAAAATGTATAATTATGGTGTGTCAAACTACCTGTCAACTGTAAACTGCAATGTCACGGGGGTCACTGCTTTCGCTTTGTTATTCTGTGAGTAGTGTCTTTGGCAGTTGTCGCCTCACAACTAGTCTACATAAATTGATATTCAAATTAATTGTTTTTTCCCTTGCTGTCTATACAGTATACGCACATAATTTTGAAATAATATGTATCTACACAATTCAATTATATTTAGCTGTTTTATAGAGCTTGGGATGAGGAGTTTATTATTTGCTTAAAGTTTACGAAAATAAATAACTGGGCGATCGTGAGAATAGACAACTTTATTTTTTATTTCTTAATTATATTCCTATTAATAGGAGTAATTAATATAAAACCTACATCTAAATCTTTAATTAGCTTCCATATTAAATTATTTCATACCAGATTTACGATTGTATAGGTACGTTTAAAGATCAAATTAATAACATTCATCATCATCGGAAAAAAATATAACAAATAACTAGATATTTGTTAACTTTCACATTTTTTAATTACTGTTAGACATTAAATGTTTTATTAATTTCTTTCATTTCATTAAGAATAAAGCATAAACAGCACTACAAATTTTTTATTAGTCTAATTTAAACCTGTTAAATTGGTTCATGTGCAATAACATCGATAATGGCTAACATCGATGTTTTGAGTAGGATAAACATCGAACATCGGTGTTAAGCTATCGATACCAATATCGATGTCATCATCGATGTTTCTGCAACATCGACCATCACTAATAGGTAATAGGTATAAGGCCGGCCACATACATACGAAATTCCGTTTCGGGATTTCGAACGCAGCAAATCCATATAAAATCAATGACCCATCACACACCTACGGTAGTGTAGAACTTTTATAGAATAATATTCACAACACTTAACACTGGCTCACTATCACACCAAGTCTTTCTGGGTACACGTTCTACCTCGGAGCACTCCACAAACCAACTTACTCCGGCACTCAATGCAACAACCGAATGACGTGCTACCCCCCACTACTTGTGTATATGAGACAGTGTATTGAATCTATTAAATAGACACAAACACTACATCCCTTCCTTATGAAGGAATTTTTTTACTCAAACGAAAAAGATTTTTAATCTAAAATAATATTTCATTAATTAACTTATTTCTTGAATCAATACAAAATCAAAAAGTAAATTGAACTTAATTTGCATCGTTATGATCTTCCCTTTCATGACCTTCTGAAGATGATGTGGTCTCATCACGGATAGAGTTCCATATTCCATCTATTTTCTTTAAATGTATAACATTTCTCCGTAATCTTTGTCCGGTCTCTTCATTTCTCACTGTGATATCTCCACCTACCGATTTGTCCACAACGTGCGGGGTAGGGCTGAAATTAGCAGTTAGTTTGTTTGGTCTTTCCAAATGTTTTAAATAAACTTTATCTCCTTCTATTATTTCAGAATTTTTTGCTCTTCTTTTCCGGTCTCCATATTCTTTACCTTTTTCTTTTTGTAGTTTATCTCGGTCCCTAATTTCTGAATAGTTTTCTTCGCTATAGATATTTTTAACATAGGTATTTTGTCTCTATTTTGACAATTAAAGAAAAGTTCTGATGATGATTTCCCTGATACTGAATGTGGAGTAGAGTTATACATCATCGGATATTCATACAATGTCTCTTTCAAATCTTTTTTTTTTCAAGTTGACTGATTCTAAGTCGTTTTAATATGTCACGATTTTGTCACTCTACTTCGCCATTCATCTGGGGCCAATATGGTATAGAATTTAATAATTTGATATCACACTCAGAACAACAGCTTTTAAATTCTTCACTAATAAATTGACGCCCATTATCCGCACTAATTGAAACAGGGTAGCCGAGGCGACTAAATATCTCTTTTAAATTTTTTATTATTTGTACACTATTGATGATTTTAGTTATATTGATTTATTTGTAACGACTGAAATAGTCAATTACTATCAGAAGGTAATCGTTGCTTGGTAGTGGTCCTAACAAATCCATTGCGATGTCGAGCCATGGTTCTGATGGAAGTTCTCGCCGTTTCATAGGTACTGGTGGATTTGGCAGTCCCACAAGAGTGCACCCTTTGCAGCTCTTGACTAACATCTCGACATCTTTATCAATCTTTGGCCACCATACTTTAGCTCTTAAGCGTTCTTTCATAGACACGATCCCAGGGTGACCTTCGTGGGCTGCCACTAATACTTGTTTCCTTAATTTGTTTGGAATTACAATTCTGTTTCCTCTCAAGAGAATATTGTCATAAAAACAAAGTTCATTTTCAAAAATTTTAATAAGTTCGTAACTGGCTCATCCCACTGATTTTTATGGAGTCCATTTCTTACGTTCATTATTTCTAAGTCACTTTCAGAGTGTGCAATTATATCTCGCATAGAAATAGCATGTGGTTTTGCTTATTGTAATATTTGGCATACATAGTCATCCAAAGAAACACATGTACAATCTATAATTGTACATGTGTTTCTTTGGATAACCGTGATAGTGGATCTGCAATGTTTGTATTTCCTGGCTTATATTTTATCTTATATCTGTAAGCATGTAATTTCAAAACCCATCTTTCGACGCGGGCACATGGCTTTGACTTAGGACTAAATAGCAATTCCAATGGCTTATGGTCAGTGATTAAATCAAATTCTTTTCCGAAAAGAAACGTGTTCGATAGCCCAAACAAGAGCAAAGGCTTCCTTCTCTGTTTGGCTGTATTTTCGTTCACAATTTGTTAACGTCCGATTCCCATAACCAATGATTCTGTGACCCCTTTCATCAGTTTGTACCAAAACAGCTCCTAATCCTACAGGGCTCGCATCCGCTATAACTTGGGTCTTGTCTTTGACGTCATAATATCCTAAGGTTTCTATTTTTGTTAATTTTTTTTAAACACCTAAATGCATGGTCCTGTTTTCCTGTCCAGTATTTTTCTATGTTAGCCTTTTTTCCTAATTTCCTCCTAAGTAATTCTTTTAATGGTTCATTAATTGTAGCTAATTTAGGAATGCATTTATTTATGTAATTTACTAAACCAAGAAAACTTTATAACTCATCAATTGTTTTTGGTACTCTAAATTCGGTTATACTTTTGATATATTTAGGTAGAGGTGTTACCCCATCTGGTGTTAATTTGTGTCCTAGAAATTTAACTTTTTGCACTTTATACAAACATTTTTCTTTATTGAGCAGGACATTATTTTAATTTAAAACATCCAATACTTGTGAAAGTTGCAAATCATGTTCTTCTTCACTGCTGCCTCAAATTAAAATGTCGTCGATAAAGTTAATAACACCTTCACATTTAATTATCATTTTTTCTAAGATTTTTTGGAACAGCTCTGGTGCACATGTGACTCCAAACATAAGTCTTTTATATCTGTAAAGTCCACTAGAAGTTACAAAGGTGGTTAAATATCTAGAGTTGGGATGCAGCTCAACTTGATGGAAAGCATTTTTAACATCTAGTTTTGAAAAATATTTCGCTTTTCTTATTTTCAGCAGCAAGTGGTCCATGCTAGGCAATGGATGGTTTTCTCTGAGAATTGCTATATTAGCTCGCCTCATGTCGATACACAGACGTATATCTCCATTATCTTTCAATATTGGTACATTAGGCGACACCCATAAAGATGGTTTATTTACTTCTCCAATAATATCGGCATCTAATAACTCCTTTATCTTCCTTTTTATATTTTCCTCGATTGGAATAGGTATTCTACGATAAGGCTGAATTACAGGCTTTATGGATTTATTTATCGGAATCTGTACGAAAATATCTTAGAACAACGCCCACTTTTAAAACTCCTAAGCGCATTGCTGAATCTTTTCCTAATAAATTCCTGGATCCGTTTTGTATGACATAAATAGTGCAGGGATCAGTTTTTCCATTTGTTTTAATTTCAGTTTCAAATGAACCTTTTACATCTAAGGGTGTGCTAATGCCATATGCCAATAATATTTTATTGGGTTTCTTAGTTTGATTTTTACAACTAACTTTATTCATTTTCAAATATTCCCATGCTTTATCAGTTATTAAATTTGTTTTACAACCTGAATCAATTAACATTTGTAGCTCGACGCCACCTATGTTACACTTTATGGTTGCGTCGTCATTTACATTAAAATGTACTGAAAATAATCGTCTTCCAAAGTATTGACTGCAGAATCCCTACGGAATTTTTTGTTTCTATGATTTCTTATGTCTTCCTCTTGGTCATGTTCTATTCTCCTTTTAAATCGGTTTATCTTTGTTTTACAGCATCTTTAATAGTGTCCCTTTTTTTCACACCCGTGACATTTTTTTTTCTTTGGCTGGACAATTTGTTTCCCCAATATTGTGCATTGCTTTTCTTCATCTCCCACACTTAAAATTTCCTGATCTCATTTCAGTTTTCCCCACTTCGAAGTATCTCTACTCTTACTTGTGACTGAATTTATCTCGCAGGCTTTTCCTTTTCGTTCATATCTTTCTAGTTGATAGTTTACTACCTCTAATGTCTTTGCTTCTATGACCACATTGTCTAATGTTACTGCATCCCCCAT